GTTCACCAAACTCTGTGATCTTGCAAGAGGATACATGTTCTCCGATTTTTCTTTGCACAGCCAAGAGCAAATTACCAATTTTCCCAGGATTTTGGTAATCTGATTAGGAAAAATTCATTTTATTAGTCTCACTTGAGTATAAATAATACCATCACCTTTTCAAATATTTATTGGCCATCTCTAGTTCTCCTTTAAACGTGCCTGTAAATATCTGTTATCCACATGCCTTTGACTTTTTTTTCTCTATTCTCTACTCTGTGCATAAGGTTCTTATTTTAGACTGTGTCTTTTTTAGATAACTAAGTGGTAAACCTTTTTTGCCCAAAGTTGTTATAGTTTCTGGTAACATTTTGTAAGGTATCTTTTGCATAAGGAATTTCAAGATTTTCTATAACGATTGTGGTCATTGTTGTACCTGGGCACCTGGAGCTCTGCACGCACCTGAGGAGGGGCCATATCAGGAAGAGAAGTGGTCACCCCAAGGTGGGGACAGGGAAGAGCCGTGCCATGTGTAGATGTCATTAGTCAACAGGGCACTGCAGACACCTACAATACTGGGCACAGGCCCCTCCAGGGAGAATTCTCTCTTTCTTCTTGTCTCTCTTTCAGTTGAGCAGAACAGCTAACATTCCTGACACTTGGTTTCCTGTCTGAACCTGACCACGTTTCTCATATTTCACAGGTGTAAAAGGAAGATGAGGATGAGAACTGTCTCATCCAGCTGCTTGGTGGAATAAACGCAGTAACAGAACACAAGTGACTGGCAAATCTTCTACTATTACTGGACATTTTAAATGATGGTTAACTACTCCTTTGGTCAAACTCCTTAAAATATAAATAAAGAAGAAAAGACTACTAAATAAAATATACACAAGGCACAACTCAGGCGTGGGAGAAACAGAATCTAGCTTTTCTTACATATAAACCTGCAGTAATACTTGTGTGAAGCAGCAGATACAGCCTATTGTGCTGGACCACACGTGGATATTCTATCTACAAACCAGAGAGGGTGGCACAGGTCACAAGTACCCTTTCAAAATGGAGCTCCTAGTGTCTGTAAGGGAAAGAAGTTTAAAAGAATGCAACCACTAAAAAAAAGACCATTATATAATATTAAATAAAAGGAGCACAATTTAAATTACATGAACATCTTCAATACAAATAGCTATAAATGTACATGAGGAAGAGTAAAAGAAGATGAAAAACAGCTAACTTGTGAATAGGAAAGTAGTAAAATGAAAATCCATTCCTATTATTTTCTCTACCTCACAAAAATATTAATACAGGAAAACTAGAACGAAAAACAACAGGTTCTCAAATGCCTGTTGTTCTCCCTGAGTCTTCCCAACACAGAGAAAAACGTGACAATCTGAATAGTGAGATGGGATTTTAACGCGAAGAGAGGCAAGTCTTACTCACTTTGAACGTGCTCATTTTTCATCCAACGTCTGGGAATTTGTAGAGTCCAGAGTTATGCAGTTTGTGGCAAGGCAGAATAGTACCTGGAAAGTGCCACAGATGTCAGAAAAACATACAAGAAAGGGTGGCCT